CAACAACTCTAACATGAAACAATGTATCAACCAGTCCAGACTGCAACTATTGCTATTAACCACTAGTTCATACATTGCATATTTTTTCTGATTGAGGGACATTTTAAAATGTCTCATTAAATCTCAGAAATGTTTTTTAAAATCGTCCATAATCCAGCAGAGGGTGCTGCAGCCCCCTCAGTCAGTGTTGATGGGAGATAAATTTGTGTACTCTGTGTGCTGCTGAGTTCTTATCTTGTCAGTCAGTTCAGATGTTTAAAGTGTCACAAATATTTTGTATGATTTTACTTCAAGAAGTGACTTTGATGTTTATTCAGACATTACTGGAATGGTTATGTTAATGAGATGAATACTAACGTTTACCAGATAAAGTGTATTTACTGCAGCATCAGAAGTAGTAGGAGTAGTAGTAGTAGTAGTAATCTTAGTGGTAGCAGTAGTATTAACTTTGCCAGTATCAAAAGTGTTAATAGATGCAGCAGAAGTACTACCTTATCAATTGTATCAATTATAATGGCAATAGTTGCAGTATTAGTGTTAGCAATCGCAGTAACTTTAGCAGTTACAGCAGTAGTACTGTCATTGTAAGTATTGTAGTAGAAGCAATAGTGGTAGTAGAAATATTAGTGGTAACTTTAATTGTAGTAGTAGTATCCAATACAGTATTGCATGTATAATTTATTGTGCAACCCGTAAACCTTTAGTAGAAGCAGTATTGGAAGGTGTCAGTAGCAGTGTAATAACTTGAGCAGTAGTAGTAGTAGTAGTAGTAGTACTATGAGTAGTACAGGTAACATCACACAGAGAGTAATGAATGTCACTGATGACGTGATGAGAACAAACTGAAGAGGAAGAAGAGTGAAGAACAAGGACAACTGACAAACAGACACTATACAAGAAGTATACACTTGTACACACGATAATAAACACACACAGATACACACTGTGCGTATGTTTGTTATAAAAACGTCTCACCTTCTCTCTTCAGCGGCATGTCGTCTCTTTGATCCACACAAATCCTCTTTGGGGATTTTACAAACACAAACACATTGCATGCTGGGTAATGAAGTCCTAATCCCATCAGCCCTCTGTGACACAGATAAGTACACACCGTGGCCCCGCCCTCCTCCTGCTGTCACACCACAGGATTGGACGATGCTGTCAGTCCCAGTTTGATTGACAGCTCTGTTAAACTGAATCATAATCGTTTTCAATTCTGTCTGAAGAGAAATATAAACATAAAGCTGCATTTTAAAAAACTATATGAAAATACAGCTTAATGATGTTGTTTATTCATTATTGATTCATTAGATTTATTAGTGTCAATGGACCCGAACCACTAGACTACTGGAGACTACTGGGAATCAAACCAGGGACCCTCTGTGGGATGGACCTGAACCACTAGACTACTGGAGACTACTGGGAATCAAACCAGGGACCATCTGTGGGATGGACCCGAACCACTAGACTACTGGGAATCTAACCAGG